GACCGGCATTACTTCGGCGTCTTGTACGGGTACCTCTTGTAGTTCTGCCACCTCAGGTTTCCTGTGCACTGAAGCCGGCTTTCCATCTTCTGGACGAGCCTCAATTTCTTGGCAGGCCATCGTCACTCCGACTGGTATCACTATGGGGAACTCTTCTTGTTGTGCCGCCACTGCTTGGGTAGCTTCCCTTTCCGCGGCCATTTCTTCTCGCCATGCTTGTCTGTTAGCCTCCCATCTTGCCATAAAATTCTTATGGTCGGCTTCCGCCTTAGCTTGGTTTGCCCTCATCTCTTCTTGATGGCGTCGGAACATTTCTTGGTTGTCTCTGATTTCCTTCAGTAGAAATTCCATCATCTGCTGCATCTCCATTTTGTAGCAGTAAAATAGTCGAAGCAGTCGTAAGTTTAATTCCTCGAGGCGTGTTTACGTTCGTAAACCAATTCTGACACAAAGTTATCACGTGTCTTGAGTTCGAATCTCGTTGATCACGTGTGTAAGTCCAAATCCCACTTCTGACACCAGTGTAACGTGTTTCGTTACAGAATACGCCGTAGAGATCGTTAATTGGTTTATTCAACAACCTACAAGTAACGGCTACAATTAATTATTACACAGTTGCGGGGTTTCAGACTTTATAACCCTAATCGCATTAATCTTTTTACACTGTTGCGGGGTTTCACGATTTATAACCCTATGCGCAAATCAGTTCACTCTGCCTTCAGTAGTCTACACGTTTACAGTAGGGGAGCTAGGTATCGCTGTATCACACGCTCCCAATTACACAATCAAACACACGTCCGGATCTTCTTTCCGCGACGGCTGCTATACTCCAACAGTAGTCGGCTGACTGGAGAACTGTTGATAACACACTCGGCGACTGTCACAGTACAAGTCGACTCGGCGACTGTTACGTTACAACTCGGAAATGTCTTCGGCGATGGCCAGGCTACAACTCGACTCGGCGACTGTTGCTATATGTCAACTCGGCTCGGCGACTGTTACCTTATAACTCGGCGGTAGCTCGAGGACTGACTCGGAGGCAGCTACAGGACTGACTGTGAATAGCCTTCGCTGCTCCTCATGTAGCCTCGATCGGACAATTGTCGTCTGGTCCGTGTTGCTAGCCACGCTGTCCGGAGTTTTTGACTGCTGCCTAGCAACCGCGCTATCCCTCGGTGACGTCACCGCTACGTTACCGTGCGGAGGAGGGGGAGGGGAGCGCTGACTCACCCGCCGCGTCACTGCTGGTGGGGGGGTTCTCCTTTGCGCAACGTGTCACAATACGTTGGAATGAAATCTTTCTTGGTAGAACATGGGACATACTTTTAATGTGTACGAAAACTGTGGGATGTTTTGCAGAGAGATTTAGGATTTAAGATTATTGTCCTGTCACAACTATGGGTGCCCGAAGGGTCTTCTGAACATAGAAACATATCCTGCCGGCGAAAATCATGAACCTATACTAGAAAATATGAGAGTAAGTCAATAAGTAAGTTACAAATGGATATAGAATTTAACAAATAAAAGTACTGATTTGAAAAATGCTTTTATTTTTCAACCTAATCTTCTTGTACATTGAAGCACTTGTCCCATCATTTCACAAGATTCTGAAAACCAGTAGCCTAAAATTCTTTGGGCTGCTGTTAGAACCAGGCGTGTTCACACGGCATGGCCTACCTCATAATGCATGACAAGTTAGGTTTTCACAAAATCTGCGCACGATGGGTACCGCGCATGCTGACCCCACAGCAGGAAATGCAAAGAATGGATCTGGCATTACAGCATCTCAATTGCTACCACGATGAAGGACACGATATGCTAGCCCGAATTGTCACAGATGATGAGTCTCGGGTTCACCATTACCAGCCCAAGACAAAGCGTGCGTCAATGCAGTGGAAACATCCTGCGTCGCCTGCCCAAAAGTTTAACGTGACAACATCCTCCAGGAAAGTGATGCTCGCAGTCTTCTGGGATCACAAAGGCATACTGCTCACCGCATTCCAGCGTCAAGGACAAACCGTAAATGCTGACTCCTACTGTAACATCATCACGAAACTTCGTAAGGCCATTCAACGGAATCATGTAACCTGTCTTACATTATGGGGTAGGCCATACCATGTGAACATGCCTAGTTCCGACTTCAGCCCAAAGAACTTTATGCCGCTGGTTTTCGGGGGCTTGTGAAACGATGACACAAGTGCCTCAATGTACAAGGAGATTATGTTGAGAAATAAAAGCATTTTTCAAATCAGGACCACCTCTGTGGTCTAGTGGTCAGCGTTCCTAGCTACAGATCCAGAGGTCTGGGTTCGATTCCAGGCTCTACCAGATTTTTCTAAGAAGTAGTGGGTCTGGAACGGGTTCCAATCAACCTCGTGATGATAATTGAGGAGCTATTTCAAGAGAATAGCGGCACCGGTCTAGAAAACCGAAATTAACGGCCATGGGGATTCGTTGCGCTGACCACGCAACACCCTCTATCCACAAAAGTTGGCACTATACTTCGCTGACAAGCGGCGGTCGCTCGGTCGGTATAGCTCGTTTGCGGACTAAAATTGGGGAGATTTTTGTACTCATATTTGTTTAAGTTCTATATCCATTTGTAACTTACTTATTGACTTACCTATGTATGTATAGAGAAAAGAGCATTGTGACATACTGCTAGGTAAATTATAGCTGGGAGAAACTGTATAGAAGAGAAACTAGGGAAAGAATGTCGGTAAGTTATGAGAAGTGTGTAAATACATATACCATCTAAAAGCACATTTTTGCAATTTTTAGAGCACAGATGTATGCACATGTCAATTGTTAATGCATTCAAGTCTGATGTTTACTATAAAAAGTAGATTCTGAGAAATATTTACATAATCATTGCAAAATGCAATATCGCCTTTTCTAAATAAATTGTCATTACAGTTAGAGTGATGCGTGATTACAGCAGAGGATAGTTGAATTTTTGAAAGTGTTACAATTATCAGGAGCATTTCACCCATCACATTCGAGACACCTACCCTGTAACGAAAGCGAAAACGCTTTGCTTCGACTTTGAAACAGAAAACGAAAACACTAATAGCCTGAGATAGAACAATAATGGCATGAAAGTGCGTTATTTAAGAATTTTTCTCAAAGAAGGTTGCAGACTAATGTAATTGGCATATGACATTTCCCATTATATGCCTGACAACAGAGAGTCTGCATTATTTTGATTTTTGGAACAATTGCAACACTCTACAAACATGTGATACTAATCTTGCCTGAAAAAAGAATCTTCGTGAAAAGAAATATCCTTTTGCCTGGAAATAAATACAAGTTCTGCATAATGCAGCGCTACTTTCCAATAAAGCCATACACACTCTGCAGAACTTGATATTGCGTCTGTAGCTTATCTAAAATATGGGAGTACTATTTTGGGGGGATATCAATATTTTCTGCAAAATGTGATATTGCATTACCGGGAAATTGGTAGATACTATCCAAAAGGTAATAGTAAATATAGACCCTGAACTCTACTATGTTCCTGGAACAATTAGTACACTTCCTGCAAAATATAATATAATGTTTTGGGGATATTAGAATATAAAATAAAAAAGTAAAGTAAAGTAAAGCTATCCCTGTAACAGGCCATGAAGGCCCATAGGGTTGTGAGACATTGAGGGTCCCACATTATCTAGACAATCATTCTGCAAAATGTATTAATACAGAAAGCAGGTCTAATACTGCATTACATTTCCTTGACATTAGTACACTCTCTGCAAAACATAGACCTAATACTATATTATCTTTTCGGAAATTCAGTATATTCTCTGCAAAATTTAATGCATCTGTGTTCAGTTTTTAACTTTGTTATTTAGCAATGTCGTTAACTATCGAGACTGCATATGGTCGGATGATACAATGATTAATGAATGTGGAGGACCTGGTGGAATAAGAGCTGTCAGAGAAAACCCGCCCCAGTGCCACTCTGTCCACCACAAAACCCACATGACTTGATCTGGTATTGGAAAATGTAACGTCATGTTTACGGGAACTAGAGAAACACAAGTAAACGAAGTATCAATCTCCTCACCATCGAAGCAATCGACGAGGCGCAGGTTGTCGAGTGCTACGAGTGCTGGGGCGGCGCCTTCAGGCACCACCTCGAGTATCAGGCTGAAGTTCTGGCGGATGAGCCCAATCTTGTAACGGAACTGCTCCCAGCGCTCGTTGTTGTTGCCTTGCTCTTCATGCACGACCCACTGCGTAGTGGAGTTACTTACGAGACGTAGCGTGGACCGAGACATTTTGGACATGAACAGCCATACCTCGAGGCTGCACTGTTGGTGCCGAGTGCCCAGAAATATGGGACTCCATAAATTCACCTCCCCGGGGACGGGGCCTTCCACCCGCAGAAGCAGGAAGTGACCTGAAATGTTCAAGAAATTTCCTTTTGTCACGGTATCCAAATATTTATAAAGTCCCCGGAATTAGTTTTGTCTTTTTTGCTTTATTTAATTGTTTATTAGAATGTTGTATTTTAGCGTCCTGTTGCACTGATTTTCGTCCATTATATATATATACAGTGCCCGTCTTGCAGTGCATCCACTTTTTACCTGTCACTTCACAACATATTTCGGCACCATAGTGCCATTCAGGTGCTCCATTTACAATAATCTATTGCACTGCATGCCATTATGTCAATGTAAAATTATTTAAAAAGTATTATAAAATATTCATCAGTTATAATAAATTTTTTGTATACTAAAATCTTGTTAAGATATTCATCTTATCTGTCCCAATTCAAAACCCGCGCATGGTTCCTCCACTATGGGAGTCGTTCCTCTTATATGGCGTGTGTATCGTGTCTCGTGATGCGTGTTCCCTTTTTGGCTGCACAAAAAGGGAACAGTAGTCTCTGAACAAACCTGTACATCTCTCCACTTCTGCCGACTTGCTATGGATTTCCAGAATTAACTTCACTGTTTGCATCATACTGCGTGCCATGATTTGTGATGCTATGGCCGTCAACACAACAAATCTTTCATAATAAACAAATCGAATGGTTTACTTTGGTTTTATTTAATAACTGCTAGTTTTGTTGGTCCATAATTTGGATCATCCTCAGACAGTTTTATTAAATGCGTTTCATGTTATTTAAATATCCTAATGTGGGTCCATGATTGCTAAAACTTTGTAAAATTTTTAAAATTCTCTCGTTACAATGTAAAATTCTGTGTTATTTGTCGCGTATTTTAAGTGGAGTTTATCTTCATGGATCTGCTGTTATGTTTTCTTTTTACGTTTTGATACTCTTCACTCATAATGTTATTAGAGTTTTAGTTTTTATATGTTTTAAAAATTTAAAAATTCAAATTTTTTTTAAAATTTTAGTAAGGTAAAGGTAAAGTTGTCCCCGTGCTTAACTAATTAAGCACTATACCATGAAGGCGTATGGAGAAGTGGATTTACAGATCCATATTTTCTTGACCTAGGCACTAGTTGGAGGTGAGTGGACAGCTTCACGCCCCTGCCACTTTACCCCTAGGGCAAGAACCCACGTTAGCCACTGGATAGGAGGTTAGGTGGACCCCAGAGCCAGTCTGGACGATTTGGAGAAGACAAAATTCCTACCCTCACCGTGACTCAAACCCCTAGGTCGTCCTGCCCGTAGCCAGTCGCTATACCGACTGCGCTATCCCGGCTCCTCAAATTTTAATAATAATTACATATATTATTATGTTTATAATGATTATAATGATGATAATGGAATTATTATTATTATTATTGTTATTATTATCATCATTTATTTGCTTGTTTGTTTACTTTTATTCATTATTGTGTTTACCCAAGGAATTGCCTGTAATTTATTTTTTACTTATAATGTGTTTTACTAATGTTTGTATAATGTTACACGTAATTACTTTCATCTACACTGTGCTAAGTCTGTAATTGGCCTTGCGGCTGTTGACTTGGCACATAAATAATAAAGAATTGAACTGAATTGAATTAACACTCGTATGGATCCATGTTAGGATATTTCAGTAACATGAGACTGCCTGAGGATGGTCCAAAATAATGTAACGTGTTTCGAGTAGATACTTCCATGATAACGCAATATCAGTGATCCGTTGCGTAGAGAACACCGAATCTCCCCGGAGATGAACGACCAACGACTCTTTGCGTAACAGCGGACTGTCTGAACAGCGGTAACGGAACCGTGAGGAATGGTGTCCGGTATCCGGTCGGCATAACGCCTGTATAAGCAGGGCCAGAGACGACACGTTCAGAGGAGACAGTCTTGGGATAGCTGCCGCTACAGAAAGTCGGGATCGTCGGGATCCAGTCAAGCCCAAGGACAGTTGAGACGTCGCATTAGAGTACTGGGCCAGAAGTCAAGTGATAATGCAAGTGACAATAATTGTAAGGTGTGTAGGAGTGAGTGTCCAATAGAGATTCGCTAAATCCGAGACCCACGCGAAGTTATTTGTCTCGTGACATACCCACACAAGTCACAACATGGACAGAAACATGTAGCCGTTATTAGATGGAATTATTGAAAATAACTAATTGGTTTATTTTGAAAGATTTGTTGTGTTTAGGGCCACAATATCACAAAAAACTGTAATTAAATTAAGAATGGCAGTTAATTAAAGTGTTGGGCTTCAGTGCGAGTTGTCTTACAACTTACGATAATAAGGGCAGGTGAGGTGTGACTGAACAATTATGGAGCCAACAAGCGTGATATCTCAGGGATATTTACAGCCTAATATTGTAACCGTTGATTCTAATTGGTGGACTATTGTGTATTAATTATACCTATATTAAGTAAATATCAAGTAAATACAAAGAGAATCCGGCAGATAGCCGACTCTTACACGCAGAAGGGACATAGTTCAAGTTTTGCTATGTGGACAGGAAGTAACATCTGGTACTTTCCTGGAATTCTGGCAGTTTCAGCAGAGTCGGAAAGTCTTTGAGAATTTGAGAGCTGACAGCTCGGAACAGGGATAACTTAAAAGTGGGACGGCCGGAGCCTAATCCCCTGATCGTAATGCATCAAGGGGTTGTCAACCTTAGCGTCAGGTCAGCAACTGCCAGAATCACATAGCAAAGCAACATGATTGGAAATTAACAAATTTAGGGAACCTCCTAGTTTGAAAACTTAACCAATGGCAAAAGTGGAGGAGTGGAATTCTCTTGGAGTCTGTGGTTCGTGGACCTCAGGATTCAGAGAGAGTGCATTCCACCTGGGGGAGTCTTCATCCAACTTTCGGCGAAGTCAGTCTCAAATTTACAACTACGTTCGTTCAGAAAAGAAAGTATTAAATGTTAAATATAATTAACTATATACATTAAAGTTTCCGTTGTATTCAGTGAACGGAAGTGAATTAAATAATTAGTATGTGAAAAATTCGGAAGTGGTGTATGTGATTGTAGCGTAAGGTTCTTCCTGCCCTGCCCGAGCCAGACCCGTATAAGACCCCGGGATAAGAACTCACCTCTACCAGTTACCGAGCAGAACCCACATACTCCCGTCTTTCCCTACTTGCGAGACACCTAAGGGTGTACAGGAAGCGAACTCTCGCCTACCAGCACCAACAACCACAATTCTCCTCCCTTCCCACATAACTTATCGACATCCACGAGAAGAGGGAGGACGGTGATAAGTGGAGCACAACGTAGGAGCAAGGAGGACGGTTACACAGTGACAACCAACGTAAATGGCCCAACGAAGTGAGCGGTTAGAATATCGAGTACCCAGCGAATACAGTTTTGTTTATTCATCTTGAATTGTAGACGACATTCAAGCTTACTCAAAGTAGGTATACACACCATAAAACAATGAGCAATACTGTCACGTATATTCCCATTGCTAGGCAACGACTCAGTATATATGTTTCATTGAACATACAACATTAGGAGCTGTGTTCTCTGTGGACTGTGCTACAACACGCTGTTTTCTGTGATCCGTGTGGCGACCGTTGTTATTCGACGGGCGATACACGCGGCCAAAAATACAGGGAAGTAGTGTTTTCTGTGCTGCGTGGTCCGCGCTGCGACTATATAAGGGAGTCAGTTTTCGGTAGGATACAGCCACGGGAAATTAGTAGTTAAAGAAGAATTAGAAGTCAGCCTGTGAAGAGTTAGTGTGTGATTAGAAGATTCAGTCACAGTGAGACTGTTTTAATTCAGTTATCAGGATACGAGTAGTGAAGACGGAGAATCCTAATGTGTGTGTAACGGTGAACTATAAATTGTGTAAATCGGCGATGGCGTTGTAATGCTTGTAAGTACGAGTTGATTGCATCAAGTGTTAATAAAACTAATCATCCAATTCAGATCCCGTTATTATTGATCAGGACCATAAATACGCGACAATATAAACGGACTGTTGCCAGTTCCAAAGTTCAAGGCACACCTGAATGAGGCAAAGGTATGACACAGAGTGAGCTCAACACTGAAAAACTACTATCTTCTGAGGCGTACGATTCCAATTTCAAATGCAATTGCGTCACAGAAGACACTGTAGAAATCTCCCCTGATTGGAAAGTTCAAATCAAGTGGCTAAACATAATTAGCACATTCCTAGGTGGCAAGCACTTTTGAATGAAATTTCACATATGTGAAATATCTAACTTGCGGCGCGTGTCGATATGTAATCCTCGCTCGAAAAAATATGAATGGAAAATCTGTCTTAATTCTAACCATGTCGGCACATTAGTTTCTCGATCGTTCTACGAGAACATTGTGTTACATGTACAAGACAAAGTTAGGACTACACAGGAGCCAAAACGTCAGGGTTATTTAGCTCAGGCCCCTGACGTCAAGGGACCCCAAATATACTTTTATTTACTTACTTACTTACTTACTTACTTATGGAGCTGAGTCCTTCTTGAGGAGAAGCCAAAACTGCAGCCACTCAAGAATTCCCAGCATTAACATATAATTTTATTTAATTTAAAAAATACAGTTAGTAAGTGTTGAGGATCAAATTTGGGGATCGAAAATTTAAGTCATTATGTAGGTGCCTGCAGACTTGCGAAAAGTGTTTTGCAGTGAAAGAGCAAAGATGACAACACATGGACACGCAATGAGGTTAAGAATGCGATAATCAGCATTCATGCGTAATACCGTATGCAAGACGCTCCGCTAACTAGGCCACTGGAGATGGTCATATGAGTAAATACACAGCGATAAGACGCAAGAGGTCCACCCCCAGCCACATAGAATACCCAATGAAAGCCTAACTTTAGGAAATTAGAACACAAGGGAGGAGCTATCTACCCCCTTGTCGTCCACGCTGAATCAGCGAATTAAGACTATAAATGAGGGAAAGTCAAGAGACTTGGAATTCTGATTTTAAACAGAATATTCAGTTGTCAGCCGGAGGC